GGGATCCAGAGACTCCAGGGTATGAACCACCCCTACTCCTGACTTTGGTGCTTGGACGGTGCCTGGGTATGTTGGGTCCAAGAAGGAAAGGGATGACCAGATTGGAGATCTCATTCTGTTGGTTAATTGGTTGCCTTCTCGTGGTTAGTTCATCTCATTTCTTCTATCTGGCTTCCCATAGTTTAAGATGATTGAATGACTTGCTACAGGATATGGATTTGGTTTAGAAAAACAGAGTGTCCTAACTGACCTTTCCCTTCCCCTCACCAGGATGAAATGCTGGCCCGCTTTGTGGTTGGCAGCCACGTTAAACACCACCCCAGCAATAAGGAAGAGGAGGCAGCCGGCGGTAGGGCACCGGAACCAGCCTTGCCAAACACATATGGTGTGGAGCCCTTGCCTCAGGAGATACTGAAGAAGTACATCATCTATGCCAAGGAGAAGGTCCGCCCAAAACTCAACCAGATGGACCAGGATAAAGTTGCCAAGATGTACAGTGACCTAAGGAAAGAATCCATGGTGAGAACCCTGGGGAGTAAAACTCAGACTGGGAGGAAAGGTGATTTTGGTTCAATTCAGCAGGCATTTACCAAGAGCCTACGTGTGGTAGGAACCGAGTATACAAAAACAAGAAGTCATCGCTGCCCCTGGGTTCATGTGCTCCTGGAGGACAGAGCATATGGACAGGGAAGCAAATCATAATTTGAGGACAGAGAGAACACTAAGGGCTAGGAAAGGTTTCTTCTTAAGTGGTGGCATCTGAAGCGAGGAGGAAGATCATTGGGACAGAAAGCCTGGATGAAATGCACAAAAAAGGTGATGCGTCGCTAGGCTTAGGAATAGGCGAGTAGGCTGATTTGGCTGGAAGGAGAGTGTGATGCCAGATTTAAATGTAACTGGGAAATAGTTAACAAGATACAGCGAAGCGCAGATGATGTGGACGTGATTTTCTAAGTCAGTGTTCACCCCATAGGGACCCCATTTCTGCTTCACTTTAGTACGCTGCAGTAGGTGTAAAGGGGAACAATGTGAGTTACGTCTGGACAGGCGGGACTGGCGCCATATCACACGAAAGGGCTTAGATGCCATGCTTGGTGACGTGGACCGGCCTACTCATCACCAAGATAGTTTTTCCAGACTTGTTGGGCGTATGGAGTGTTTCTTCATTTTCTTTGCTACACTGTACTCCTCTAAACTAACCCTCTGGTGGGATTTCCCTCAGCTAAAGCCTGAACATGACCTCTCTCTGGCAGGCCACAGGCAGCATCCCCATCACGGTTCGGCACATCGAATCAATGATCCGAATGGCAGAAGCCCATGCCCGCATTCACCTTCGGGACTATGTGCTGGAAGATGATGTCAATATGGCCATCCGGGTGATGCTAGAGAGCTTTATCGACACCCAGAAGTTCAGCGTCATGCGCAGTATGCGCAAGGTGGGACACAAATACGGGTTTAGATGAGGAACTGTTAGACAACCTAGCCCTGCCTGAGATCGAATTCAGTGGGGGGTTGGGGGACTCGTGGCCCTATAGGTGGGGCCCTAACCCTGCCCCAGGCTGTTCTGTTCAGTGGAAGCCAGACTGGTCTCACTGCTGTGAGCAAGTAAGAGAAGGTGGGGGGAGGGGAACACAGCAAAAAAAAACCTGGTTAATGGGGAATTTTAATGCTCTAGAAAAGTGGTTGAGAGCACATGGGTTGATCTTGTGTCCCTTTTTTCTTCTCAGACCTTCTCCCGTTACTTATCATTCCGGAGGGATAACAATGAGCTATTACTCTTCATTCTGAAGCAGCTAGTGGCAGAACAGGTGATCTACCAGCGAAATCGCTATGGGGCCCAGCAAGACACCATTGAGATACCTGAGAAGGACCTAGTGGATAAGGTAGGGACCAAGAGCAGGGATGTGCCATCCTGAGTCTTAGAGCCATGTTTGGGGAGCATGGGCCATCACATAGCATGCTTTAATTGCCTAATTTTGTTTTTTTAAGGCTCGTCAGATCAACATCCACAACCTTGCTGTTTTTTATGACAGTGAGCTCTTCCGAATGAATAAATTCAGCCATGACCTGAAACGGAAGCTGATTATCCAACAGTTCTAAGACCTCAGGACACTGTAGCTAATTACGCACTTTGCTTCTGGAAGGTCAAGTCAACTTTGAACACCCTGTTTGCTTTGTGCCTTAGGGAAACCTCATCCAAGAGTTTTGTTAAACCGTCAGTGGACATGGGAAAATGGTGGGGTCCTGTTGTTTCAGGGTTTGAACACCTTAACTTGGCCACCAGGGTCCCCTTGGCTGTGGTTCTGAAGGTCACTGGTTGTGGGCCAGAATAGTTATTTTGTATGTTCTGTTCCTTTGCTGCTTTAGGTGCCTCTATTTTGTATTTTTCTTCCTAGCTTCTCTGGAGCTTGAGCTTAAGACCTTGTGATCTAAAAGAGAGTCCCCTCTTACCGGTTTTGGTCAGAAAAAATTTCATTTTTAATAATATTCTGATAGCATGAGATACCCTGGCCCTGCCCTTAGTTGACTTTGGCCAGATGAGGTATTAAGAATGTTTTTTCCCACTCTGGTATTTCATTTATCATCTTTAGTTATTTCTGCATCCTCTGCTTAATAGCAGTTAAAAGTGAGTAGGAAAAACTAGCGTGTATCACTCCTAGAACTGTCTGCCTTACACTCATCTGGGTAGAGGTAAATGTCTGTATGGAACAGAAACTAGAAACCTGGCAATAGGAAGTGGATAATTCTGACCCTTCCTGGTCCTCCTCAACTGAGAGTTAAGCAGCAAATATGTGACTACATTATATGACCCTGAGGGCCAAAGGTTCAATCATTTTTGCCACATCGACCTTTTCCCATCCCAGCTGTTTCCTTTTTACCATTAGTTTTTGTACATTGTGTTTTCACTTTTGTAGTTTTCATTTTGCATAAGATGATTAAAATGTTTACTTGGAAATGCTGATGTCTTAGTTCTCCTGTGAGGCATCAGAGTATAGTAGAAATAGTGCTAGAACAGAAACTCCCTGGTTCTGCTACTTAACTAGCAGTATAGCCTTGAGTCTTCAGTCTCCTAATCTTTGGGGATAGTACCCTGCTTTGTCTACCAAGGTCTTGAGACAGCTTCAGGGGTCAAATGAGAAGGCAGTATGGTGTAGAGGATAGAGTGCTGGACTGGGAATTGTGAAGATAGTGGGCTTTAATTCTGTCTCTGATACCACCTGTGTGATCACAAGGAAGACACTTTTCTGAGCCTCAATTTCCTTATTTGTAAAATGGGGATAATACCTATAGTACCTGTCTCACGGAGAGTTATGAAATACAAATGATACAGTGTATTGCAAAGCTTTTTGCAAACTCAAGTGCTATATAAAATCAGTTTCTAATTATAATCATTACTGATACTGTGTCTTAAAACATAATCTTTAGGGTTCCAGCAGCCTCTTTTGAGGATTTCTTTCTTTAGGACATCAGTCATATGGCAGGGCTTGTTTAGCCTATATGTGGGTAAGGACATTTAGCCTAGGGCTGATTGGGGTACTTTAGAGTTGCTGACTGGTAAAGTGAAAAGATCTCTGTGACTTTGGAGTTAGAAAACCTGGGTTCAAATTCTATCTCTTGACTACCTGAGTAACCTTGGGGAAGTCACAACTTTTCTGGGCCTCAGTTTCCTCATCTGTAATATAAGCAAGATCAGACAAGGTGGCTTCTAAGGTCCCTTTCAGCTGTAAATCTGAGTCTGTTTAAAAAGATTAGACATTTGGGATGGAATGGAAAAGACCATAAAGCTTATCTGTTCCAACCTTCTACCTTCCATAGTAACTCTTCTAACATCTTAGTCTGTGCTTGAACACTTCCAGTGATGGGGGAGCTCACTACTTCATTCCACTGTTGGAACAGCTCAGAAGTCTTCATCCCTATAGCTTCTGCCCACTGAATTAAAGAGTGTCAGAGCTGCAGGGGACCTGGGAAGTCATCCAGTTTAACACCTTCATTTTACAAGGGAGGAAATAGGATTAGAGAAAGTGAAATGATGTTCCTAAGATCACACAGTGAGTGAGAGACTTGGGACTAAAACTCAAATCGCCTGACATTTGCTCTACTATCCCAGTGACTTGGTCTTTCTTCAGCCATTTGGAACAACAAATAATAGCTGACCTTTAGATAGCTCCTTATGGCTCTAAAGTGTTCTACATGCATCTTTCAGTGGATACTTAGGATCCTGAGCACTTGTTTATTACTGCTAAAAGGGTGACTTTTCCATGGGTGGCAGAATCCACCTAAGCTTCTTCTATAAGTCATTTATTCACCCGTCTGCCGTAATCGCAGTCCTAGAAGGCCTTTCATTGCTAGGCCACGTTGTTTCCTGGGTACTTTCAGCTGTTCCTCCTAACGGGGTTTGGAGCCACACAGGAATGGACATCGGAAAACCTGCCTCCGTTCCTGCCGAGACTTTGAATAAAGGCTGAATACGGGCCCCCCTCAGGGATGTGTTCCGAGGCCCTTGTTCGCTGGGGGTTGGCCCTAGGGGCCAAGGGGTCTGCTTGTTGGAATGTCCCAGCCCCGGCCACGCGGCTCTGGCCGAAGTCGGTCTCGTCTCTGTGCTACAGCAGCGGGCCTGGAGGGACCAGGTCTCTCGGGCCCAGGCCCGATGCCTCTGAGCACAACCAGGACCAAACAAGGCCTCGGTCCTCAGCAGAGTTAACCAACCCTTCAGGCGAGGCCCGCTTGGCCTGCGGCTCCTCTGCCCCTCCACAGGTTCCACCTCCTTCACCTGCCCCGGCAAGGCGCCACCAGGCCAAGTAGCAAAAGTGCGCGACGGAAGACCTCTAGACCCCTTAAGGAGGTTAAGGCCCTTAGACACGCGAGGCACGTGAGAGCAGCCTCAGCGCCTGATTGGTTCGTCCCGACAGAAAAGGGCGGGGTTGGGGCGGAAGGGGGTGGATTCCTTCTGCACTCGCTTCCTTCCGGTCGAGGCGTGAGGCACGAGGCCCGCCGAAAGAGAGAGGGAAGGAGGGAGGGGGCGGGGTCCAGTGTGAGTGACTGCTCGGCGGCCCTATCGCGCTCGCCCCGCCGGCCCCGCCCTCCGCGCTCGGTTACACCCGAGGCGAAGCTCCGGGGTTGCTGCGGCTGCGGCGGGAGGAGTGCGCCCGGGGCGGCTGTGGGAGCCGAGCGAGGCTGCACCATGGGCCCGCTGCTGCGCGCCGCCCTCCTGATGGCCTGGGGTGAGTGTCCGGGGCCTACAGGCACGATGTCTGGGAGGGCTAAGGAGGAGGAGAAGGGGGGAGGGGAAAGTGAGGGGGAGGGTCGGTGACAGATATGGTGCTGATGGACAGCGCCTCTGTGTGTGTGTGTGTGTGTGTGTGTGTGTGGTGTGTGTGTGTGTGTGTGTGTGTGTGTGTGTGTGTGATGGACGCTGGTGGACAGGGTGTGTGTGGATATGTGTGAGAGACAGACACTGCCGTACGGAGTGTGTATATGTGTGACACGCTGCTGGACAGAGTCTGCCTCTGTGTGTGACATACAGGGTGCGTGTGTACGCGCCTGCGTGTGACAGACACTGGTTTACGGGGTGTGTGTTTGTGTGACACACTGCTCCATGGTGTGTGTGAGAGAGAGATGCTGCTGTATGTGTGTGTGTGTGACACACTGGTTTACGGGGGGGGGTTGTGCGACACACTACTGTTCAGTGTGTGTGTGTGAGTGACGCTGCTGTATGTGTGTGTGACAGACACACTACTGTTCAGTGTGTGTGTGTGTGAGAGAGAGAGAGAGAGAGAGAGAGAGAGAGAGAGAGAGAGAGAGTGACGCCGATGGACAGCTCCCGGGTGGCCTCACGCACGGGTGTGCGACGGTGCACGCCACAAATCCTGGCGTGCTGGTTCTTGGGTTGTCTCACATGGGGTATGCGTGCACAATTGGGGCGCGGGGAGTCAGGAAGGTAGGAGCGGTCAGTCTCGCTGCTGGACAGTGCCTGTGAGGCTTCGCGCAGGGGCTATGTATGTGTCTCTGCTGGACAATCAGTTATCTCTGGATGCTCCCATATGGCCCCCACCAGGGAGAGGTGTTCATAAGCATGTCTGTGTGACTGACACATTCCTGGATAACGCTTATGTGGCTTCATGCAAGGTGTGTGTGACAGACGCTGCTGTACAGCTCCCGTTTGCCCTAACTTAGGATATTGCGTGATTACTAGATAACAGAGCTTGGTGTGTGGGGCCGCTGCTCAAGGGGGTGGGGTATGTGTGTGTATGTGAGAGAGACAAACGTGCTTCGGAGATATGATGCGTGTCATACACACTCCCTAGTGGCTTTGACCCAGTGACACCAGGGGTGTGATCTTATGTGAGAAACAGACAGACTTCTGCTGGACAGCTCCTGGTACAGCAGCCACTCAAGGATATGGGGTGAATGCATGAGAGAGTGACAGCCAGTTCTGTGGCTTTTACACAAAAGAGAAAGGAGAGGGGGGTGTGACATAGTGGCTTGTACATAGTAGGTGTGAATGGTAGGTGCTTAATAGCTATTGATTGAATTGAATTGAATAACTATTGACTGAATTCACATTCAGTAGCCATACAAGTGTATAGAATTATGTGGCAGTGAGTGCTTGTGTATGATATGTAAAGTACCACCTTGGCCTTACATTCCTGTGACGCTTTACAGTTTTCAAAGTGTGTTCACACATATTATCTCACTTGCTCCTCAGGACAGCTCCTGAGGTTTCTCATTTTTGCAGATGAGAAAACGAAGGCGTAGACAGCCTAAATATTTTGTTTATGGTCACATGGCTGTTTAGTATTTGAACTGGGATGAGATCTCAGGTTTTCTAACTCAATCTATTATTGTTTTTGTTACATAACATTATCTCATCCACTGAGGGATACTTCTTATATGATTAATACACAGGGGTGAAAACTGTATATGTGTATGTGTTTTGTGTTAGAGACACTGTTGGATCTTGTGTAGCTGCTACCAGAACAATTAGGAATGTATGATTCTGTCTGTGAGACAGACACTGTCGTACAGTCTGGCGTAGTTGTCATACAAGGGTATAAAGGTGTGCTTGTGTATGTTGTAAGTGATGCTGAATAATTATTTTAAGGTACGTGCTGCTCAAGTCCTCTTTATATCCCTGTACTGACTGCAGACTGTCCCCTAGCTCAGCCAACCAAGGCTTTGCAGAGAAATGTAAAGCAGAGTAGAATAACTCATTCCCTGTCTTGTCTTGGGATCCTATCATCCTGACTTAGTGGTAGTGTTCTTTCACTGCCTTATTTTGCACTCCCAAGCAGGGACCTCCTAAGGGAATTGATCTATTTGTCTCTGCGTGTCTACCAAAAAGGTGCTTAAAATGAACTGGATTATGGAAGCACTGACAGAAAAACAAAAACAAAACAAGATAGCTCTCTCTCTGAGTTGACTGCTGGAGCCAGGAGCTGACTGCTGGTACTGAATTTGGAATTTGGGAATGAGCTAGGCAATTGCCACATGACATACCTCCTTCCCTTTTTGTCTGGGATGATCAGTTAGATATTCTGCTCTTTGGGGCTGTTACCTTAAAGAAATCTGCATGGGATCATAGTATGATCGAAGATCTAGAAGGGACCTCAGAGTCCATCTAGTTCACCTTTACTTGCACAAGGTCACATCAAGTATCAGAGGCAGAATTTGAACCCAGGCTCTCTGACTGTAGAGTCAGTGTTCTTTCCCTTGTACCAATGTCCTTTCTGACAACTTCTTTTACTCTACTCACTCTATTTGTCAAGCATCATAAAGTAACAAAAAATGTAAAGTGCTTAGGGGTAAAGAAAACCAACCATTCAGAGTGAAATCCTGAAATATGAAGTCGGGTGTGGCCTTAATTAAGGCAGATTAATTGTTAAGTGTGAAAGTAATTATACTTAGAATGAGTAGGTCTGTGATACTATTTTGGTGTAATCTTTTTGTAGACATATTTGAAGAGAAAGGGCTCCCATCTAATTACCTAAATAATTATGTACTGTCAAGGTCTTTGAAAATATCAAGGTCTCTATAAAGGCAAAATAGTCATCATCGAAGCAAAATAACCAAAGAAAATGGGATGCTTCCTGGAGAACATCAGCTAAAACCTAGAGATGAAAAACCAGGAAAACAGATTCTCTTACACACACACACACACACACACACAGAGAGAGAGAGAGAGAGAGAGAGAGAGAGAGAGAGAGAGAGAGAGAGAGAGAGAGAGAGAGAGAGAGAGAGAGAGAAAGCATATCATTCAAGTCGCTCAAAGCCCCTGGTTATTTCAACACATCCAAAAGAGATAGGAAAGAAAGCAGGGCAGGAAAGAGAGATGTGTTGCAGAGAAACTGACTCTCCTTACTTTACAGGTGAAGGAACTGGGTCAAGGAGAAGGAAGTGACTGGCCTAAGCCTCCACCTGAGTCAAGAATGGAACAGAGAATAGTGCCCACAAGTCCTTCAGCTGCACATTCTGTCCTGAATGCTCTATACAGTACTCAATGATTCATAAAAATAATGGAATTTTTAGAGTTCAAAAGGACCTCAGAGGTTATTGAGTCCAACACACGACTGAAATAGAAATTCCTGCCACAATATCCCTCACCAATGATGGTTCAGTTTCCACATGATAACTTCCAGAGATGGCAAATCTAGTGCCTACTGAGGTGGTCTGTTCTACCTTTGGGTAGTTCTAATGGTTAGGAAGATTTGTACTCATATTTAGCTGAATTTTCTTTCACTGCTTCTCATTCTGTTTTCTAGGACCAAGCAAAACAAATCTAATCCTTTTTCACATGTAGACCCTTCAGATATTGAAGATAGCTACATATCATGTTGCCCCTGGTTTTTATCTTCTTCAGGTTAAAAATCCTCGATTTCTTCAATATCTTCTTGTTTCATAGCTTCCAGTTTCTTTACTATCCTAGCCACCCACTTCATACTGTGTCACAGTTTATCAATACCTTTCTTTAAATGTGTTATCCAGAACTGAATGCATACTTCCTATGTCACCTGACCAAGGAAAATTACAATGGAAATATAAACTTCTTGTTCTAGACATTTCTATTAATGTAGCCTAAGATTGTTAAGAGTTTCTTTTCTTTTCTTTCTTTTTTTTTGGGCGGCGCCACAACCTCACACTGTTGACCAATAATGAACTTGCAGTCCACTAAAGCCTCCAGGTCCTTTTGAATAAAATACTGTCTAACATCTTTCTCCCATGCTATGTACCTGTACAGTTAGGTTTTAAACAATTGCTTTATTTTTAGTCTGAACTTCATAGACACCAAAGAAAAGATCATTTCCTCTACAGGGTAGAGCAAAAACAGATGATTGCTTGTGAAATGTACAGTTGTTTTTTAACCTAAGTATGAGACTTTTATGTTTTTCCTTTTAATTTTATTAAGTGAAATTTGTATCAGCCTGTCAAAAGCTTTCTAGATCCTATTTCTGTCATCCAACATGTTATTTTTTCTCTCACCTACACATTGAATGAGCGTACCATCTACACCTTCACCCAAGTAATTGGTAAAAAATGTTCAATTGAATAGTGCCAAGAATATAGTGCTATGTCCTTGCACTAGAAATAGCCCTTCAGGTTGACCTCAATCCATTAATATCTTTGGGTCTGCTCATTGAATCAATTCCAAACCCACCGAATGAAGGCTCCCTCAGTTCACACCTTTTTCTTTTGTCAGCAAGGATGTTGTAAAAAAGATATTTTGCCAAATGACCAACCAGACTTCCTAGAAAGATAGGGAAAATGAATGACTCTTCCTCATTTTATCCATTCAGTCATTTCGCAAACATTTATTGAATGTCTACTGTGTGCTAGGCCCTATGCTAGGCATTGAGGAAGGTAAAAAAATAAGTTTACAACCCAATGGGAGAAATAGGATTTGTATGAAAACAACTAATGCAATTTATAGTATCCTAATTCGAAAAAAAATAGTTATATCAAAATACTTTGGGATGACTAAGGATGAAGAGACGATTTTGGGCTGGTAAGATTGCACAGAAGATTTCTTAGAGGAGGCAGTACCTTTCAGAAATGTACCTGGAATGATTGTAGTAGTTAATTCCCCTATCTTGACCCCCCTCCCTCCCTGCAAGTTTGCCTAGTTTTCCTTAAAAGGAAACTAGCCTTCAAGATATAATTGGCTCATTGAATGAAAGCTTGAGCCATTGATGTAGCTACCTAGTCACCTGAGTATAAAACATCCAGA